TATAGTGAAGAGCAGAAGAATGGAACTAAATTGGAATATTAAAATAAAATTCTAATATATTTCAAAATTCTAATATATTTTATGATGTAAGCAAAAGTAAAAAAAGTAAGATAAAATAAAATTTGAAAACATTGATAATGGATACAAATTAATTCGTATGATTATTTTTAGATGTTAGAAATCAATCCTGATTTGCAAACACCACTTGAATCAACGAATCCACCTACTGCTGGTGATAATAAAGATATTAAAAAAGCGGCACCAACATTAGATTTTGAAACTGTTGGATCAGATAAGATTGGTCAGGTATTAATATTTGTTTCTTTCTCCTTTTTCCTTTTTCTTCTTTATTTTCTAATTCTTCTTTTCTTTTTTTAATAGTTAAAATTTAGGCTTAATTTCGTGCATTCTTTAAAATTTCAATTTTAATAAATAAATAATTTTGGACAAAAAAAAATATTTTCTTTTTTTTCTTTTCATGAAAGATTAATTTTGTTATAATCAAATAATTTTTATTCAAATATTTATTTAAAAAAATTGATTTATAGCAATAATTTAGTTGGAATAAATTTTTTCTTTTATTATTTTCTTTTACAAAATTTGGATAAGATTACTTTAATTTTCATTTAATCAATCACTGTACTTGTTTATATATACATATATATGTCTGTGTGTGTGTGTGTGTGGGTGTTATTTCGTTAATTAAAAAAAAAAAGAAATAATTTGATCAAATGATTATTTCAGGAGCAAAAATTAGGAATTCAAGAATGGATAAATTTGACATTAGATCGTGAATGTACACCAACACTTTATGTTTATTTTGCTTGTATTGCTATACTTGGTGTTATCACTATTGGTATCATTATTATCGTTGGTTTACAATGTAGCTGGAATTTTATTACTGTAGGATGAAAATTTAAAAAAAAAATTATTATAATATGTATATTTTGGATAAAAATTTGGAAATTTTTTTTTTCGTACTAATTATAAAAAAATAATTACTTGTTACTATGTAAAATGACTGTCAACGTCACAATATGAATAAGATAATCTTGAATATCTGTAGTGGTATCAATGTATGCTAACGTTTTTACGTGTACGCATTATTTATTCATATTTACATCCTCCATTACTAACCAAAATTGTGCTAATTTTTTTTTTTTTGATAGATTTGAATACTACGATAAGTAAACAATATTTTAGTAAGGATACAATTATTTGTTTTAAGAAATCTCAGATAAAACCGATTTATTCAGGTCATATTTATCCGCTTCTATCGCTTTGTCTAATCAGCAATTATTAGCAGATCCTTTTTTTTTTCCCCCCAACTTCATTTCTTCATATATATATATATAGCATCTCTGATACACTTTGTTAGGTGAGATTGTCGTGGACAAGTACTGAATAATGTATGAAAAAAAAAAAATTTAATTATCATGAAAATTGGTTATTGCATTTAATTTAACGATAAAATTAACATTGTAAAATTATTTTGAAAAATTTAAATTTGAATGATTCATCCTAATAACATATAATGGACATTTCTTGTGAAATATATTTTCATTTATTAGAAGAGTTTTCAGAATTTACAACCATTTTTAATCATTTTTATTATTGTTACTGTCATTTATTATTTTTATTATTATTATTATTATTATTTTTTTCATATCATTATTACCATTCTTACCATTATTTAGCATCTGGCAATTATTGCTATTATTATGGTTTTATGATTTTTTCATAAAAGCTTGTAACATCATTTTTTTCATAAAGGCCTATTTCAAAGTAGAAAAATGATTTTAGTGTACAATTCTAAGCATTATTATTATCTGTTAAAAAAAATTCTTCCATTCAAAATTATACAATTAGTGAATCACTTAGTTTCAGTGAAAGTATTAGCAATAATTTGGCAAATAATTTAGCAAAAAAAAAACACAGAAATTTCAATAGCTTCAATTCAATGATAAGGCGAAAAAAAAGTCTTTTTTTTTAAATTGTTTAATCTTTTTTTTTTAAAAAATTTTATTGCACGATAAGGAATGAATGTGAAAGTAAGAAAAGAGAAATGAGAATGATAAAGGATTTTGTATTGTTGTGAAATGAAAAGAAAAAAAACGAAATATATTTGTTGGTTTCGTAATAAATTTTATTGAATTTTTAAAGAAGTTATAAAACAATTGGCTGTAAATTAATGAATGAAAGAATTAATTTGCCTTCATATATCCATAATGTCCAAAGTTATCTTCCAGAATCACTCGTAAAATGGAGCAAATTTCGGTGAAATTAGGCCGTAAAGATGGTTCATCTTGCCAGCACTGAAGCATCAGCGTATATCTAAAAGTTACTTCTATTTCAATTTTTTAATAGTTTAATTTAAATGTTAATGAAAAAAAAAGAGGAAGAAAACAAAAAAGAGTGGGATGACAAATGTATCTGCGACAAAAGCATTTCAGAGATTAGCGCTTCTCTCCTCCGTTTGGAATAAATGTATAAATGGCTTCTTTTCTTTTCTTTTTTTCTTTCTTTTTTTTTTTGTAAATATAAAAATTACATGATTCCTCTGAAATTAGCAATTTCCTCATGCTATCAGAAGTGTTCTCGTGTTCGTTGAAGGAATAAAAAGAAATATTGTAGTAATTGATGAGGGAATAGAGATTGCTAAGGTTGATAAAATAGCACATTGTTATAGAATGAGAAGATCAAAAAATAGTCCAGTTTTCTTTATCACTGCAGCACTAGCAAGAAATGCAAGAAAAAAAGAAAAATAGCTTAATAAATGATAAAATTTTGCAGTGATAGGGGATTATTTGATGTTTTTGAAATTAAATTTGTAATAGTAAGTGATATTTCAACGATTTTTTTTAAATTTCATGAAGATTGCGATCGATGCATTTTTTTTACTTTAATGAAAATGAATAATTCTTAAGATTTACAATTCTGAAAAAAAGAAAAAATTCCACATTTTAGCGCAATTTATTATGAAGATATATTTCAGCTAATTTATTTTGCATGAAAATAAAAAAAGTAGGGAAAATAAAATTTAAAAAAAAAGAAAAAATGAAAGATAAGAGCAAACGAACATATTAATTGGACAATACTGAGGTTGATTAAGACGAGCGCCTGAATTTAAAAATTTAAGAATTTCGGTCGTTTGTAAAAATGCATAAGGTACTTGACCAAATGAAAATACCTCATAAAGTAGTACACCATAGGACCATCTGAAATTAAAAGAATAGAATGAGTTAAATTTATGCAAATATATATGTATGTATATCAAATTTTTAGGTTAAAATAATTTTTAAAGTTGATGACTAGAAAGGATAATTTGGATTGAATTATGCATCGTAGGAGAAAAAAAAAGAAAAAACTTCTTAGCCTTCATTGCTAAAATACTTTTTGAATGTAAATGATTCATTTTAACTTAAATATTATAGGTTCCATTTTTTTTTACAAATAATAATTTCTTATCCAATTGTTTATTCTTACATATAAATTTTGATTTTCTAAGTATAAAAATTTAATTTTATGAAAGTTTCAAACAAAATAGTTTTAAATTTTGAAATAAATTAAGAACATTATAGTACAAATACATACACATCAGTTTTAATTGAATATTCATATGATCGTAGTGATTCCGGTGCCATCCATTTTAACGGTAATCTTCTATCATGATCAGTGTAAATAAACGAATCCGATAATCGACATAAACCAAAATCAGCTATCTGTAGGGGAAAAAAAAACAAAAGAAAATTTTTTAAATTAATTTCATTAATAAATTTGTGAACTCGAAGAAAAAAAAACTATTTAATAGTAATTTATTTCCTCATTTCATTTATTTCAACAATTGCGGTCATCATTCGTCACAAAACTAATTATTAATGTGCATATAATTCGTAACTGATAAACTGATAACATAATAAAATAAATTAGTAAAAATAATCGAAGTTGAAATTAGGAAGAAAATATTACAATTAAAATTGAAAATGAAAAAAAAGAATAGAGATATATGGGATGAATATGAGGGATGATTACTGTAATGTTTGAAATTGAAACGGAATGTTGAAATTTTGGAATTTCTTACCAGATTGTCAGATCAAACATTCTTTTACTTCTATCTTTTTCATCTTTTAAATTTCATTTTTGTTCTCCACTGCCTATTCCATTTGTTTATTAAAATTACAAATTATATATATTTTACAAATTTTTGAAGAAAATTTCCATAATGACAAAATAAAATTTGAAAAAAATTTAATAGACTATGCAAAAAATTATGAAATTCATCAGAAAATTTAATAGATTATGCAAAATAAAGCATATGCAATTGTAACTGTAATTTAAATTGTGCAAATAAATAAAAGCATTTAAGCAAATAAACAAAATTAAACATAGCATTAATCAAATAAGGAAAATTAAACATAAACAAAATTAAACAAATTTAAATCAAATAAACAAAATTGAATATAAATAAATAAAAATTTATATATAATCATGAGAATTTGTTAAATTCTTTTAACAAATTTAACAGTACTTTGATTATTATTCAAAAGAAAAAAAATGGTTAAATTATCAATTGAAAATTAAACATCACATTCATTTTGAAAATTCAAAGTTCAATGTATTGAAATTAAATAAACTGTTGAGATTAAAACAGAAATTATCAATATCAAATGCAAATATTAATATGAATTAAATATTTCAATCGATCGATATTTTTATATAAATATACAAATAAAATATATTTATTATATAAATATAAAATACATTTAATTTCATTTTACATTTATTTTATTATCTAAGTGCTAACAATAGCAATGTTATTTTACTTTACTAATTACACGTAGAAATCTTAACTGTATTAATTAAATTAAGTGGACAGCAATAAAAAAAAAGAAGAAAAAAAACAAAATGAAACCCAACCTTGCAAATATTTGCAGCATTGACAAGTATATTACGAGCAGCTACATCACGATGTACACATCCTATACCACTCAAATATTCCTATAACCATCAAATTATAATTAGCATACGACTCTAGTTTTAATTAGTTGAAGTTAAATTACGTTAATTAAGCAATATTCATTACGTAAGGTTAATATGTAAATAAGCATAAGAACATTTCATGAAATGGTGATAACAATTATATAATAATTATTCGTCAGGAGTGAAATACCAATTAGTTAGTTATGTTTTTTTTTTTTTTTTTCGGAATATAATCGAAAAGTAAAAATTAAGGAGAAATACAAATATGCAAAATAAATAAAAGAAACTATGCGAGAAAGAAATTAACAATTAAAGTGTGTCAATTTAATAAGCTTAATAAATTGTCAACTTAATAAATTAAAGAAAATGAAAAAGAAATAAGATAAACTATTTAGCTTACATCAATGATATTTTGCTAAAAATAACTTTTGGACAATTTTTTTTTCGTTTTGAATCGATAATAATTGTTTTCCTTTTTCATCTGATAATTTTACCTTGAAATTTTATGTAGAAGAAAATTAAATTTTTTTTTTCCCATAAAAAGTAAACTTACTAATCCATCACTGATTTGCCATGCAAATGATACCAAATCTTTGATTCGTAATTTTGAATGTTCATTTTCATGATTCTGTTAAAAAAAATTTTTTGTTTTTTTTCCTTTTTTTATTCTCTCACTTATTTGTTAATTTATAATAAAATTTTAATTTTTATTATTAATAAAGATATTAAAAATTAAAAATTTATTCTTTCATGAAAATTTTTTCAAAATCAATTCTTTTTTTGAGTAAAATTTTTTTAAATGATAAAATTAAAACAAACCATAATAATTTCGTTCTTTTTATTTCTCACCAAATGTAAAAGATCACCCAAATCACAGTATTCGATGAGTAGCATAATGTTATCATTATCATCAATACTTATACCAAGCATACTTATCAAATGTGGATGATACTTAAGTGATTTCATGAATTTTATTTCCTGTAATTAAATTAATTTAATTTTGTATCTCATTCTTACGCCTACCCTTCCATTCATAATATATTTGTTAGATTCAATTTAAAATTACAGTATTAAAATATATTTTAATGAAAATATATTTTAATCGGATTTAATAGAAAAATGAGTGAAAAAATGTGTAGAAAGAAATGGAATTTTCAGAAATTAAGTATATGTAATAACGAATAAAATAAGTTTCTGACCTTTGTGACCTTTAATAAAGTATTAATATGTAATCTTGAAAGTAATGAATAGGTCAAAGATTACATATTGATATTTTATTAAAGATCACAGAGATAAGAAACTTATCATATTCGTTATCTTGCTAAACGATCAGACAAAGCATAAAAGAAAGAAATAAAAAATTATAATATTAACGTAAGGAATTAAAATAATTAAAATTAAATTAAATTAAAAATTAAGATTAAAGATCAAGATTGAATGTAAAATTATTATAATATTAACGTGAGGAATTAAAATAATTAAAATTAAATTCCTAGATTAAATAATTGTTAATTATTTGCTAAAATTGTTCGCTAAATGATTTGTCACTAAATTTAGTAATTTATTTAAAAATTTCAAATATTTTTGTTAAGCCTTTCTTTTTTCTTTTCCTAATGAATGAAATTATCATAAAGTTTAATTACTAGCAAAAGAAAAAAAAAGAGCGCAACTTTGATAAAAGCGCTTAATGCTAGCAATTATTGCTTTATATTCAAATTTTTCTCCTAAAAAGTGATGATAAAACCTGGATAAAATCAGCATGCGCAATATCATCTGCAATAGATGGAAGCATTTTTACAGCACACATACAATCCTTGAATGTTGCAGAAGTTGCCAACGACGGGTTTACTTTACAAATTGGCGCTAATCCTTCAATTGCGCCTAAAAAAAAATGAAAAAAAAACTAAGAACAAAGAAAAAATCGCATAATAATTTATTGCAAACAAAAATTTGATTAAATGTACAATCAGTGATATTATTGATCAGAATCATGCTTGTAATCATTAAAAAATTACGATAATTAGTAAATGACATTACTAATTATTAATTCTTAATCAATATCAAATTATTACAAGTACTGATATCATCGTTATCATAATTTTGTTCAGAAAAAAAAATAAAAAGTTTAATAAACTACAATTATTGCATATTATGATAATTGGTAAAAATTATTGTTTGAATAATTATCATAAATGTCTTTTTTTTCTTTTTTCACAAACAACAATTATTTTTTGTTAAATTATTTGGAAATTTTTAATTACTAAAGATAAAATTTCAAGCGTAATTTATCTTTTAACTTTTTTTTTTGTATATTATCACTTTTGATAAATATATGTACGAATTAAAATTAAATTTGAAAAAATTACTGAATTAAATTTGGATTAAAATTACTTCCAAAATAATGCGAATGTAAAAGTTGTAACCTTTATAGACATTGCAAAATTCACCAGAACCAAGTTTCGTTTCATGAAATACCACTAATCGAGATTTTTCTAGTAACCATAAATTTTCGCTGAAAAAAAAAAGGACGATCATTGAAGTAAATGATAAGTGATAAATGATAAGCGAATGATAAATGTAGGATTTTCTTTTTTCTTTAACTAAAACTTTTTTTTTTTGAAAGACAAAGAAAATTGTTCATGGTCATAGAAAGGTTCGAGAATATTGTTCATGATATATTTAAGAATTCTTTTATTTTAATTGGTATTCTAATTTTTGTTGTGATTTATTTCCAATCATAACAACAATTTATCCATCTATTGGGATTTTTGAAATTTTTTTTATCTAAAAATTTCATTAAAAAAAAAGAATTTCTAATTATTTCTGTGGAAATCCTAAGGTATTAGGATCAGTTTTACGATATTCCGAGAATTTTCATCGTTACTATCCCCGCTACAAGATTAATAAGCAATTGTGAGATGTTAAAAAAAAAAAAGTACCATAACAGATGAAAGGTAAAAAATTTTGTTTAAAAAAATAAATTATTGGATCAAACAAAGAGTTGTAAACGAAGCCTAATGTAATTATGAAATTATGTCTAATATAATTATTGAACCTAAGCCTAGTATAGTTATAAAGTTAAGCCTAATGCAGCCACAAAGTTAGGCCTAATGTAGTTATGAAGTTGGGCCCAATACGATTGCGAAGTTTAGCCTGATACAGTTACGAAGTTGAGCCTAATATAGTTATGAAGTTGAGTTGAACTTAAGTCATTAGGTTAAGCCTAGTATAGTTATGGAATTAATGTAATTATAATATAACTTAATGTAAGTTACAAGATTGAATAACGAATAATTAATTAGGCTTAATGAGAACAATTAATTAATTAGGCTTAATGCTCAAATAATTATTATAATTCAAAACTTTACAATACACTTACATATCATAAATACATTTATGGTATCGATCATTTTCATCTTTATGATGATTCTGTAATCTTCCGATTCTGATACCTGTCATCTTCTTTATCGTTGTTTTTCCACCAAAAGCATATTCAAGACAAGAATTACAATGATATGAATGATAATCAGTATCATTTTTCCATTGTATACTTCGTCGTAACCATTCTCGATATATGATAATAATAGTGATAATCAACAGAAGAAATAATACTGATAAACCAATACCAAGTCCTAATTTTACTACAAATAATTTCCATATTATCTTATGTTAAATTTTTGTTATCTTTTATATTTGAGACTTTTTTATTTTTTGGTTTCAAATTCATTTTAAATTTTAATTAATTTTAAGTATTATTTGTTTTAATTCATTTTTCTATCCAAAATTTATATTGTTTAAATAATTTTTTTAAATGAAACATTCTAGAAGTTAACTTATAAACAAAATCAAATATTACAAAAGTACCAAGCTAAGATACTGGTACTAATTGACGTAGTACACGTCCGAAAACTAACGTGTAAAATGAATTTTACATTCCTAATTTTTATATGCTTTTGCTTCAGCTATAAGAGTTTTAACTTGGTACAGTAATACGTACGAAGAATGTTATGCATGAGAGAGTAAAGGTAAGAGTTATTGATTACGTATGATTCTAATTAATTATCCAATTAAAATGATAGATATAAATGTGATTCAATGAAACAGGTAGGAAAAATGGATTTGTATTTTTGTATACTATTAATTTGCTTTATGTAAATAAGCTTTAATTTTTATTAAATTACTCAAAAACTTTTACTCATAGAATGATTACTTCAATAATAGTCAAATTTAATTGTAAAAGTAATTAGATATGTTACAAATCAAACCTGTAAGAGAGAATAAAGTTGAATCATTGATAACCTGAGAAATATGCATCATTGTATCATTCAAATCACCCAATAATTCATGATGATCTATATCAGGTGATCGAAATATTGATTCGATTCTTGTATCTTCTAGATTATAATCCATATCATTACGATCTATAATAAAAGTTAAAAATAAAATTAAGTTTGTGATATTTATATATACTATCAAATGATTCACTGATCGGATAAAGTTTGAAATGCATTATGCAAATTTTATCATAACTGATAACCTGTTGAAATTAAACTATCATAATTTGTTATCATGATTTTTTGTTAGGTAATAAAAGATAGTTATATTCACTAAGCAAGCCTAAATGCATAAGTTAGTTTAAATATTTCAAAAAACTAGTCTAAATGTTAGTCTAAAAGTTAGTTTAAATGTTTTTAAAAATTAATATATGTTCGAAAAAGTTAATTAATATATATGGATTTAAATGAAGATGTGTTTCTTTTTTTTTTTTTAGTTTTGAACAATTCTAATATCACAATAGAAATAATAATAAGGAGCTAATTAAGGACAGGTATATAAGCTTAAATGATATGATATTAGCTAAGAATAGGTATGTAAACATGGATGATATCAGAAAAGTATCGACAATTTTACAAAATATCCATGAATTGATTAGTTTCATTACCAATAATCATTAATAGTTAATAGTGATTCTAACAGTTATTTTGATATCATAATAACATACAGTACAATGTTTATTATTTTGATAACGAAAAATAATTTATCAAATGGTACTTAAATGAAATTGGAATATATGGTTATATAAGTATAGAAATATATTAATTACCATAATACCATTGTCCTTCTTTTTCATCATCTGGAATAGATTTATGAGAAGGCCATAACTGATTATCATTATTTATTATCAAATGCAAATTACTATTCGATTTTTCGGTTTGTTTATTGTTATAATAATCTGATAACGGTTTATGATATGTTGTCATTGATTGCAAATTTTGATTTGTTCGACTTTCAATCTGAAATAAAATGAAACGGTAAGTAAAATTAAAATAGAATTGAAAATTGGGAAAAAAAATTCTAAATAGTTTGATAAGAAATCACTATTATCAGATAATTAACGTGTTATATACATATGTTTTACAGTACAATTCATATACATTACTTGAGTAATTTTTATCCTTATTCAGTTATCAGATATTAAAGGAAATGAAATAGAATTGATTAATTTTAAATTACACTTTGTAAATTATAATCTCAAAGGGTAATAATTAATGATCATATAGTTCATCAAATAGCAATTGAATTTTATGAAAGATGGTCTAAATGGCCTTTGAACTTTTCGTTGATTTTTTTTTCCTCAAATAATCATCCTATTTATTTATTTACAAATTTTATTTTTTAAATTATACTTTATTGATTGGCTATACAACGATAGAGCAATAATTATTGCCAATTCCCGGAAAAATTATTTTGATGTTTTGATCGATTAAAGAGCAAAAATATTTTTCCGATAGCAAGGAGAAAAAAAAAAAACGTTAATAAACCGTTTTCAGATAAACTATTGCAGGAAGTAGTAATACTTATTAATTTATTGCAATCGAAGTGCAAATTTCACTTTTAAAATTCATTTTAATTTGAAAAAAGTTTTTAATTCATTAATTTTCATAAACTCAACCTTTTATGAAATTTGTAAAATAACAAACAATTATTGTTAAAAGTTACAAATTTTCATTACAAAATATGATTAAAATAAAAAAGAATCATTCATTTTGCTATTATACTTAATATTTTAGAAAATTAATTTGTTTGCTTTTCCCGAATAATTTCATAGGGTAAAGTAAATTTATTTCGAGGATTATTTTTTTTATTTTTTTTAAATGCAAAATAGAACCTTTCAACCCATTAAAATGTTTAAACTAACTATTTTTCTACATAGAAAATTAAGACTTAAATTTAAATTTGAACTTGAAAAATTCTACTTTGTATTTTTTCTTTTTTAGATAAGAAAATTACTAATAATTAATTGATAATACTGATAAAAATTTAGCAATTTGTCAAATTTCAAATATTCAAACGAATTATCATTATAATTTCCATAAACAATTTCAAAATATAACTTTTCCGAAGAATGAATTTTTCTTTGATCTATTCTATTGTGAATTTTTACATTTAATTAATTAAAGTGTAAAATAATTGATTATGCTATTTATATGTATTATTTTAGAAAATAAACAAAGAAAATAAAAGATGAAGGAAAGAAAAGTGAAAAAAAAAAGAGGGTAAAAATGAAATTTAATAGATGGAAGAAAACAATAATTTAAAAAATTAATGAATAAAAGAAAAATGAAGAATGATTTCGTCACAAATAATTGTCTCTTTTCTTGATTAGAAAAAAAATGATGACGAAGATCGAAATAGATAGGATGAAATGATTGTCATATTAGATGACAAAAGCAATAAAAAACTTTTTTTTCTCAATGAACTTTCAACTTTTCAAGTTCTTTTTCTTTTTTTTTTTCAAAGTTACACATATAATAGTGTTTGAGAACAAAGAAAGTAATTAATTAGCGATGACAGAAAAAAGTCAAAAAATAAAAATTTGCTTAATTAATTTCAATTTGAGATATTTTTTTTTGATCAAAATCGTTAGGATTTTTTTCGTCAGAAATTTTTTGAAGAAATTACTATGAAAATGAAATTTCAGAAAATTTGAGATTGAAAGCAGATTTTAAGTAAAATTAGAGCAAAAATTAATCGTTTTGTTAATTTAAAAAGTTAACATTTGTAAATTATCCATTCAGCATTTCGTTTAAGCCAATTTTTTCTTCCTTTTTTTTTAATGAACTTAGGTTGAAATTTAAGAGATTTTTTACTTTCCACCAAAAAAAGATTAGACTGAATCCTTTAATTACTCAGAAGTAATTAAACTTATTTCCACACCTGTTAGACTAAAGTTACTCATACAATAAGCAATAAATAAATTGTTTTATATATTGCATATTAGGAACAATAAACATGTAAGCTATTTTAATTAAAAATTTGTCAAACAAATTTAAAAAAAAAAGAGAAGTAGAAAGTAGTAATACCTGTTGCAATTTGATGATATCCTTTACAGTAAGGCTATCAGGAGCAATATTAGCCAAATTAATTGAAGTTGTTAGGGTGAAATATCGTAATGGTTGTGTTGTGTGATAAGTTCGTATGTATGAATGAGATGAAAATTTTGAGGAAGATAATGATAAGGATGTTGATGATGATGATGATGATGATGATGATGATGATGATGATGATGATAATGATGGTGACAATGATAATGAACGATTAATAAGTTCAGTTTGCATGAATAACATGGAAAGAATAATTGAAATATTCCAAAACATCTTTTCTTCCTCTTTTCGTTTTTCTTTTTCAATTTAGAATAATAGTAATAGGAATAATAAATAATAATTCAATTATCATTTTTATCACTATAATCGTTCACTTATAGTATCACTGGATGTTGTGCTTGATCTGTAAATAGCTTAATTATATAAATTAAATAATTAAGACTGAAATTAGAAGCAGAAGGTGAAAATTAAAATAAAAATGATAAAAAGCTACTCATATTATTTGCTTTGATAATAACAATTAATAATAATTAAATGATTTAATAATAATAATTGACAATAATAATCAAATAACCTGAAATTATACAATTGATATAAATGATATAAGCAAGATTAAAATAAAAAGCTAAAAATCAAACTTTTTGTTAATTGGAATTCAAATTTTGATTACCTATTTGATATTAATGTAAATTTTATTTTAATCATTTTGCACTATGTCGTATGTTAACGACGTAACAAACGAAATAAATATTGGTCAAATGACGGAAAATAAGGGAAAAAAAGTTTTAAACAAGATTGAAATTCATTAAAAATCAAAAACGACCTAATTGTGATTATTTTTCTTTCTTTCATTCCTTTCATTTTTTTCTTTTAAAAAATTTTAAAAGAAATTCTTTTCTTTTTAATAACTATTATTTATTCATTTGATTTATTATATTATGTACTTACATATATAAAAAATTATTTTTTTTCAACGATAAAAAATTTATATGCACACAATGATATCAATGATATGAGTAAGATTATTGATAACAACCAAGGATCAGAGTTTTCGTAAATTAAATATCATTCAAACTTTGATCATCTACTTGATATTGATATAATTTTATTCAGCCATTTTATACTGTACCATACCGTATCTGTTAACAGGGTAATAAAGTAAAAGATATTTTATGAATTAAAATTTCATAAAGCAAAGAAAAAATTGCACTAACAGTAGGAATAATGATAGTAGAAGAATTGATATCAATGATAACGATGAAAAAAGAAAAAAAAGATCAAGCGAATTTATATGAAAATTAAAAATTAAGAAAAATAAAAAATATTAAAATTGAAAAAAGAATTGATGAAAGGGAGAATATGAATTTTTGTTGAATAGTTATATGAGAATGAAGCAAATTGATGGGATATTTTTTTAGGATTTGTGATTGGTTGATCGATAGATAGATAGATAGATTGATTGATTGATTAATTAATTAATTAATTAATTGATTGAAGGGAGGAAAAGTGCAAAAGTTTTGTCGGTCGAAATTGACGATTGATGTGAATGGAGGAGACAACAATAAGTTAAAATGGAAATCAAGATGACTCAATGAAAATCATAATTCAAGTATTACATGTACTATTTCGATTAATTACCTGTCTGTGCAGACAGACAGACGGATACGGACAGACAGATGAAGGTAAGCATTCATCTCCGTAGCCAAATGTTGTTTAATGGTGGAAAAAATTTCAAGAAGTAGTGTAAATGGTGGAAACAGGTATTTGATTTGATCAAACAGCTGATCATCTACAAGAAACACATACCTTCCGAACCGATGAAACACGTCCGAAATGATGAAACACGTCCGAAATGATGATATACGTCCGAAATGTTGATACATGTATAGCCTTGCGAGATAATGATATACGCCTAAGATGATGATGATACACGTACAGCTTTCCAAGAACACATACAGTCTTCCAAGATGATACACGTAAAACTTTTCGAGATGATGATAAATGATGTTCGAAATGATAATACAT